GCAGATTTCGCAAGCGTACGAGGTGCTGTCAGACCCGAAGAAGAGGGACCTGTATGACAAAGGAGGCGAGCAGGCCATCAAAGAGGGGGGCTCCGGCGGCGGCTTCGGGTCGCCCATGGACATATTAGATATGTTCTTTGGCGGCGGGGGGGGGGGAGAGAGAGACGAGGTAACGTGCCATCTGCCGACCCTTTCCCAGACCTTACAGCGCGATCGGTGTGGAAGCCAGGACCAAACTCTCTGAGGAGAGTGACGTGGATATAAGACTGTAAATAGCGTTAAAATGAAGTTGCAGGTTTGATCTTTAGATCGGAGAAGGCCTTGTCCCTAGCCCTTAACATCTGAAACGAGCCGGGCAGGACATTTGGTTCGTATGACAGTAGTTTGGTCTTTTGTGCATTGTGTCACGTTAATAACTAACCAGGTTTTGTGTTTGGAAAGCGTTTAGCTGAGCGTAGCCCAGCCGCTAATAGGCTGCATAGGGAATAAAATGGTAACATACTGTAAAATGAGTTTTTAAGTAAGCTACCCTAAGTGTAGAGTCTTAACACTACAGTGTGGATTTGGCCTTTAATTGCAAGTAACTATATCTAAATGAGATGGACAAGACAAATGCAGTCTGTGAAACTTCTTTGTTTCCCTGACCTGTTGAGTGGAGTTGAGTTGAAGCTGCAGTAAAATGCTGCTCAGAAATTAAACTGCAGATTAATCACACTGAGAAAGACTCTTGTGTTAATAAAACTTGTTAAGAATAGTGCTGACCTTGTCACTTCTTAGTGATGATCTGGCGACAAAGGGAAGAAAAAAGGGTTTCTATCAAAACATTAGTGTTGTGTCAGAGTATTCCTAGCAAGCCAGAACTTGATATCCTTCACAGAATTAAGACTGCAGGTGCTAGAGTTCTAATTAATTCCTGAGTGTAAAAATTGAATTAGTTGATTCAGTTTCCAGAAGTTTCCTGGTGAGAGGAAGAAAGTACTTTACTGACTCTAGACAGCGTCTCCCACTTCCTTATAGAAGATACATTGTCACTTTTATAATGCAGGTCTGTAGTTTTAACAAACTTGAATGTCTGTGGTTCTACATGTTTTGTTTCTGTTACTGTTTGTGCTTTCACTGAAGAGTCTCTGACTTATTGTAACAGAGAAGCATTAACTGACCAAGCCATTAGAATTGTCACCTAATTTGACAACAGATAGGAAAGGCCTATTGACTAATACCAGCAAGACAAGATAAAGCTATATTAAAACAGGATGATAAAGCTTATAGACTTGGTTTATTGTGACTGGAGCACAGTGACGTAGGAAGTTTACAGTGACTTGGAAACCAAGCTTCCAGACTTGAGTAAACATCCCATTTTCTTTTACAGGCAAAAACGTAGTCCATCAGCTGACAGTAAGTTTAGAAGATATGTACAATGGTGCAACGAGGAAACTTGCACTGCAGAAGAATGTTATCTGTGACAAATGTGAAGGTAATTGTGCAACAGATTAAACAAACACCAGTTGCTTCTAAAGCTTTTGGGTTTTTCTTCTGGCAGCTCGTAACCATCAGTCTGCAATTTTCATTCTCCTCAGGTCGTGGTGGTAAGAAAGGTGCAGTAGAATGCTGCCCTAATTGCAGAGGAACAGGCATGCAGATCAGAATTCACCAGATCGGACCAGGAATGGTGCAACAGATCCAGTCCGTGTGTATGGAGTGCCAGGGGCATGGGGAGCGCATCAGCCCCAAAGACCGCTGCAAGAGCTGCACTGGCAGGAAGATCGTTAGAGAGAAGAAGATACTCGAAGTTCACATTGACAAAGGTGAGTGAGGTGTCTTTCTAGGGTGAAGTATTGAACTTGGATGTGTTGGTTGGTGAGTAACCCTGGTGAATACACACAGAGTAAAACTGCCTGTTGCTGCCTTTAAAAAGTAGGCTTGTTCTTAGGGAAGGTTGATTACTGCTGTGTTCACGTCTGATACCCGTGTACATAGCTAAGAATGAATTCTGAAACCAGCGAGAATGTAAGTGGTGAGTTATTTTTGAGCCACCTTGTACGTGCAAGTCTTGATCAGGTAGCTGGAGCAATTAAAATAAAACTCATCACTTGTTGG